TATTAGAGTCAAAATAAGTATCATCATGTTGGTCCTATCATATTCTGGATGATGGAACTTGGAGAATAAGAATGAAGAACAACTCTAGAGTATTTGAGATAAGAGAATGACAAATGCATGCTTCCAAAGCCTTTTAAAATGAATCGCCAAAACAATGAAACGAGCAACTGAAAAGAGCCATCACAAATATCCGCATTCAAATTTATTTCTGTTACAACAACTCTTTCATTGAGTGTTTATCAAATTTATTATAACTTCTGACAAACGCAATGAAAAGAAGAATGATCTCTCAACATCAACGAAAAATTGACCAACTCTTCAACTACATCGACCAATCGATCTCTCAAAGGACTAGGTTTCATTCTGTTATATTCATCAAACTCTTGCCAAGCTTTGGGAATAGAAGACTGATTTGGAATAGTAAACATACGCATCCACCTTCCCAATACTCGCAATGTATTTACTGCGTTAAAGGATTGTGAACCTCCATTCACTTGACATATAGCCAAAGTACGACCTTGTGTAGGACGCACGGAACCTAAACTAAGTGGTATCCAGTCAATCTGATTTTTAAAACAACCCGTTACGTTCCCGTGCATTTCAGGTGAACACCAAAACTGTGCTTCTGACCAAAGAGCTAATTCTCTCAATTCTTGGACCTTGTGATGGGTTTCCTCCACTTGACCTTTTACAGGTAACTCTGTAGGATCAAAAACTCGTACGTCTGCACCCAAATGATCCAACAATCTGGCTGCTTCATAAGCACAACAACGAGAGAAAGACCGTTGTCTTAAGGAACCATACAATACTAGTACTCTTAGTGGTTTGTCTTGAGCTTCCTTTTCATACAAAGACTTGGCACCAGAAATATCTACTTGCTCAATCCAGTCATTCTTGTCAGAGTCGATACGAAACTTTTTCCATTCACTCAGTTTCTCCATCAAGTCTTTTTCAGCAGTCAACTGACAGTCAAGTGAGAAAATCCACTTTCAACTATGACAAGAGTAACACCTCCATATACACTCGACGATATCTGAAGCCAACTTCTTCTTTCAAGGGTATTCACTGGTTTTGAACACATAAACAATGCTCACATCATTATGATGATTTGTGGATCTTTTCATCATCAGGCCTACCATATACGTTTCTCAATTATTCATGGCTGGTTCAGTCTACGTCGACTTGCACAAACAACTCAAAACCGCTATTCCCAAAGCTAGAAATATGGCGTTTCGTGAAAGGCAACTCCAACAATTGGCTTTATTGTTAAAAGAACAAGAAGAGGCTCTTTGTGCAGCAGTTTACAAGGACTTGAAGAGACCCTCTAGTCAGACAGCCTTGGAAGTCACCACAGCCATTAACGATTTAAAAGATATCAAGAAAAACTTGAGAAAATATCTAAAAACAGAGAAAAAAGGAACTGGATGGCTGCTAGACTATGTGAGAGACCCTGCTTTCGCTTTTGACTCGCAGGAAGTGCGACTGGAGCCATTAGGTACTGTATTGATATTTGGAGCGTGGAACTTTCCCATAGTTCTAACTGTAAGTAAATATGTAGATAGAATGGGGTAAATTACTATTGGATTGACCAAGTTTAAATAGTTGCAGCCTCTTTTTGGTGCCATAGCTGCAGGAAACACTGTGCTGTTGAAACCCTCTGAACAAGCTCCCAACACTGCACACTTATTGGAAGCCCTTATTTCACAATATTTGGATGTTGACTGTTACAAAGCTATTGTTGGTGGTCCTGAAGTGGGTGCCGCTTTGTTAGAGTTGGAGTGGAATCATATTTTTTATACAGGAGGAGCTTCTATAGCACATAAAGTAATGGAAGCAGCTGCCAGACATCTCACTCCTGTTACCTTGGAATTGGGTGGAAAGTCACCCGCAGTTATTGATAAGAGTTGTGATTTGCAAAAGGTAAGAGGAAGTAGGCACCTGATTATATATCATGAATGTTATTTTATATGATGATGACTAGACTGCTAGAATGATTGCCTGGGCAAAGACTTTGAACTGTGGTCAAATATGTGTTTCTGTAGACTATGCCTTATGCCCTCAGTCGATGTTGATGGAGCTCATTGAATATATAAAATCTGCTTGGAACGAATTTTATGGAGAAGATATTCAATATTCCAGCGATTATTCTCGTATAGTGAATACAACTCATTTTGATCGTCTAGTTGATTTATTGAACAATACTCGGGGTCAAATTGTGTATGGTGGGAAACAACAAAATAGAGATGAACTTTTTATAGAGCCTAGTATTGTACTTGTATCTTCTTTAGATGATTGTCTAATGAAGGAAGAAATATTCGGTCCTATATTACCTATTATGCCTTACGAATCATTGGAACAAGCGTGTCATTGGATAGTGAATGCTCCTGTGCTAGAGCAACCTTTGGTATTGTATATCTTTCCAATGACAAC